ATCGAGATATTAATAAGGAACCAGCAGATCAAGTAGCTTTTGGAATAAAACACCAATTTTTTTAAAATTAAACACTATCTAAAGATTTGCATCGAAGCGTTTATTTTTGATAGTGATTTTAATCACTGTCAGATATCATTTACTTGATCCAACTATGCCACGTCACCACTATGCCGCGACCCCCCTGTGCTGGGTTTTATGAAGGATAATGCTATGAAATAATTAGTAGCTAATAAATAAAAAAACATCAACTAAAAGAAACCCAAAAATTATTCTCCTTATTGTATATATTTTGCAGTTAATTGAGTGTTTCATCAATGGATCATGTATATAGTCTTTGTAATCATATTGAAATTAATATTTACATTAATGTCATAGAAATTATTAATTGTTCTGAACCTAATAAAACTATATATTATGCACCAAATAATATCAAAAAAATAATTTGATTATTACGTTTTCCAAATTTACTGATTTCCCCATCTATGGAGTAAGATAATGAAAATGATTCTATCACTTGGGAACCAAAACTATTGTAAAAAAATTGATTTAAATAACAGCTATTAAGTAGTAATTTTAGAATATAAGTGAGAAATTAGAATATTTTTCCTTAATATACTAATACCTTAAGTTTTGATGTTCAAAAATTACATATACACATACTAAAAATATAAATTTTTTACCGCATCTAAAATTAACATGCGAGCACATGTGTTTATATTAGCGAATATCATTATGTACCACATAAGGCTTTTATGTTAGCTAGAATATGCAACTATATGTGATTGATTTTGAGAAGAGATTTAGTGAATTCATCATCCTCTCTGTCTTAACCTAATACTTAGACAACTTTTAATATACATTTTATAAAAATCTATTCAAAACCCATTATAATAATAGATAATTTTTAAAATATTGATTTGGAAAAACAAATTTCATAAATTTTATATTTATCCAAAAAGTGCAAGGTGGAGTAGAATGAAAGTAAATGGCAAAACCAATATTTTATAATAAAAAATAAAACTAACTATATATATTTAGATAATGATTTGTATAATAAAAATCACATTTCACTTAAAAATTAATTAATGGTTTATAATAAAATAACAGCCAATACAAAATATATATAATTAAAGAGAAACAATTGGTAGTTTCTTAATCTTAAGGTCAAAATTTATTAAAAACAATGTATAATTTGAAGTTTAAATAATTGGTATACAAAAAATACTAAGCAAAAAATTTTAATATCTTTTAACTACTTAAATATAAACTTTTATCGTTTTAACTGTTTAAGAGGATTCTTTGTTGGGGCACCTAATATTTGACAGTCTAAAGAATTTTCTACTTTACGAAATACTTTCATAGTAATAGCAGAAGCAGGAGGAGGTAACGGAGGTCCTTCTGGGCTTTCAGGAGTGCTAGATGTTTGATTTGGACTAGTGATTCGAACCACATCTCTACCCATTTCAATAATACCACTTTGTGTATTTAACATAGCACATAACTAAATAGCACATAAAAAATTAATTTAATTAATACCAAATTCTAAATTTTTTAAATTGTATAGAATATAACTTAAAAGTAGCTATTTACCTCTAGCATTCCATTTAATGCTTGACGAGCATCTTTATGGTGTTCAGAAACGACTGGATTTAATATGGAATGATATTGCAGTAATTTAATTTTACAAAGTTCTAATAACTCCTATAAAGTAAAACATTTTTAAACAACATAAGTTTTGACTGTATTTAACTAAAATTTAAATTACCTCAGAGGAATTCCTCATCCTTCTAGACGAACTTATTAAATTGTCAGATCTGAAAAATACACCAAAAATAACTCAATAATTAATCAAAAATCAATGATAATGATTATTAATATTTATAAAAAAATTACTAACACAAACCTTTCTGTTTCAAAATTCAATGAATCCATTTTTAATATATCACTTTTATCGTGTCTTAGAGAATGTATAATTGATGGTAATGGATAAATCTGTTAATTTGTATTATTTAATTAAAAAAATGTATATGAATTTAAAAATATTTTTTAAATATTGCTATTGTTTGATTTTCCACTAAATTAAATATTATTAACTAAATAAATTATGTTCTGTATTGTATTAAATAAATATCTTAAGTATTGGCAAAGTTTGAAAAAAAATTTTGGGAGTAGCCAATTATAATTTTTCCTCACTACAAAATACTTTCTCATACAATCTTAAGTAAAAATGAATTATAATCTAATATTGATTACAACCAAAACAGAACATATTTTTAATCATGTCTTTCTTTGAGACAAAACTTACACAACTAATCAAAGTGGCTTATAACAATTGAAGGATACCCTCGATATTTGGTTTTTCTCCATTAGGTTGGTTAACACCAATTAATATATCCTAAGGAACTTTTTAAATGCAAAGATTTCCTGTTACCTCCTGATTTGGGAACATAGTGATTTTTGTCAACAACTAGTGTGACCACTGCACAACCACCACACCCATTTTTAGTATATATTTAGCATCATGTTGGTCAATTTTAATCTTAATTTAAACAAAATACTATAGATACTTAAAACAAATTATTAAATTGTACATTAATTTTAGGAAATTTATTCAAAATAATTATAATACAAAATTATAATTTATAATTGAAAAACATCAATATAAATTGATAATCTTAATGCAAATTATACAATATTAATAGAGATCCATAATTTTGGACAAAATAAGTAGTGATGAATAATGTAAATTAAAAAAAGTAAAATGATGCTAATTGTTTGTATCACTCCACTTCAACCACTGTTTATTCTACTTTACTAAGTTGTAATAAATATTTGAAAAATTAATGTCTTTAAAAAGTATAGTAATACTGTTTTAATAGATGCCTGTTAAATTATTGCTTAAGGAATGTTATTCCAATACTGTACAAGTTTCAATAATTTTAATAATCCAATTGACAATTATTAGTATGCTTTTAAATTAATATTTATACATTTAAATGTTAAATTTAATAGATTAAATAATTTTTTTTTACCTCAGGATCATTCATATGAAGTGCATATTCAATAACAGATGCTACATCAACAGGTGGGTATTTCATGAGGTAAGTAAGACAGGTAATGTTATCACTTTTTAATACTGTAACAAATTTATTTTAGTTTTTAACTTTTTTATTAATTATACAACATTAGGGTTCACTTTAGAATAAAAAATAAATTTTTTATACTGATTTTTATCAGTATACTTAAACTTTTTTTTTTTAATTACAAAAATTATAAACATTCTTTAATCATATTTTTTATTAGGGAGAATGTATTTTAATATATGTATTACAAAAAATATACAATCTTTTAGTGTTATTAAGTAATACATTTTTAAATTTTTTTATTTAAAACAATTTTTTTTATTAAGTTAGAGCTTTGACAGCTAGGCTATTATTCTGTAAAACAATTTTTTTTACATACAATATTTATGAGATTAAAGATTAAATATATAAAAGATTTTATTAGAAAATAGAATTTCTGCTGATTGGCTATTCTGTATTTAAATTAATATATAGTTCAGTATGTAAAGGAACTAGTTTCTATTGTTCTCATTGTTTGTAACAATTGATCTGTTTTCTTACTTTTTGAATACCTTGTATAAGGTATTTATAATTAACTACTAGATTTATCCTAAAATAATAATAATTTAAAAAACAATTTTTAGCTTTATTGAGTAGTAATTATTTATCAATTTATAAATAATTAAATATTTATTAGGTCCAACCTTATCAATTATAAGGAAATCAACTTTTTTTTTTTAATAATATACATAATTAGTTAACTAATTTAAAAGTTAGGAATACTCTAATTAATAAAATGTGTAGTCAATGACAACTTTTGGACCAGTATTTTAGAAGATAGGAATATTTTAATACTTGGATGATAGAAATAGGGCGACATTAAAAATGTGTAATGCTAAAAATAGCATAATCCACAACTTATCTAAGCTTGTGTTATAATGTATTAAAAACATTTAAAAAAGGTCCAAAAGCTTAAATCGATCAGTCATTTATTTGGATCATTTTCTACTATATGAATTAGTTAAACATCTTAAAATTTAAAAAAGTTTGTATCCTTATAAGGGACAAGGGATGAATCTAAAAAATGTTTGATTATTTATTAATTAAGAAATAAATAATATAGGACAAAAAAAAAATGTCTGCAGTTTACAATATTTAGATGAATTCTATTTATAATTTTGCTGTTAATTCCAAATATGATTTTAAATTTGTTCCATCACATTTAGTTTCTGAGGTAATTACTAATTAGTAGTTAAACAATAACAACACATATAAAAATTCATAAAAAAAATTTTGTTCTTTTAAAAGTTTTCAAATTTTTTAAAATCATGTTGTAAAAGAGTAATGTAAAATGTAGACTACTGCGACAAATATAACTTGATATTTAGACAGTTAAATTTGATTATAGCACTTATTTATAAAAAAATTAAATTGAACTTTTCACTATAACTTTTTAGTTTATGAATTTATAACAATTAAGTAGGTAATATAATAAGGTTTTTGAAAATATTATTTATTATCTTAGTGAGTAATTTAAAACTGACATAATAATTGCTATTAATAGAAAAAACATACGTAAATCTGGAAACTTTAAAAAATTGTAGTCTTTTTGTTTTAATTACTTTTTTACTATAGTTATTTTTAAATTATGTAAATCTATGTTTCCCAAATTGACATATATTTTTGAACTCAATACTACATGACAGTTAAATTAGATTTTATTATTTTCATTGTTTGTTCAAATATTTAAGTAATTACCAAGAAGAATTAATAAAGAATAATCTCTTTAAAAAAATGTCTAAATTTTCACATACACATAAGTTGTTTTTAGTGCATATAATGTGAGAGAAAATTTGAATAATTAGTAATAATAATTTACAATATAATATTAAAATAAGAATAGTTATTATAATATAACTTACGTTGAACTCGTAATAACACTAACATAGCTACAAATATATTATTAACAAGTTGAAAAGTAAGGGGTGATTTTGCAAAAATTACATCCCACAATACTAACAAATCCATTAATGAAAATTCCCCACCAAATAGTAATCTTAACCAGCGGCTAAAAAAAATTACAAAAATTTGTATTAATTAAAATATAAAAATATAATTTGAGGTGTTAAGAATGTAAAGTGTATAACTGACAATTATTTTTATGATTTTTATCATGTTTTTGATGTTAATCACTGTCCGATATCTTTTGTCTCAACTATGCCACTTTCTCACTGTCTGCATTTTTTTTAATGTCATTTATATTTCACTTGCATTCTAAGTACCTCATATGTTTATTTGTTTATTCATACATTCCAAAAGTAGTGAATCCAATATCTAAATTTATTAAATGTTTATGTAATTCTGGATCATATTTTGCTAACATAGTATCACGTATTTTTAGTAATTTGCGAACTATTTCACTTTCTGGTTTAGAACTCTATAAATTATAAACAAGCGTTTAAAGCAGTATTTTTTGTTTAAATTACTAATGATTTAAAATAGGTCTTACAATCTTAATTGTTTCTGATTGTTCCTCAGATGTAATAATTATATTATCATTTGTGATGTAGTAGTCTTTTATAATATCCATAATAGTACTAAACTGTGAACTGAACACATATATTAAGTTAATTTAAGAAAATTCTAAGTAAAAAACTCACACTTACTACGCGTCTGCTTCTAAATGTAATGGATTTAGTATTTGTTGAATTGTATCACTGAAAAATAGTTATTATGAATTAGCCAGATAATAAGATTAATTTTCAATTAATTTAATAAAAATACAAAATTTTTTTTTTTGAAAAATTATATTAATCAATAAAACTCAAAAAATTATTATTATTTTAATGAGACATCATTTTATAAATACAATTATTACCTAAAAAGTTAAAATAAAATATTGACTCCAATAGGCATGAATAGTAGACATTTAAAGAATTATTGCTTAAAAGCAATTTCCACATTGTGTTAATGAAATCAAAATCAGAAAACAACCACTTACAAAAATACTCAAGAACCGAAAACACAAACTCTTAGTTCAAATATTGAAAATGAGCATTTAGGTCATACCTCACAACAAACGTTTTCAAATACACAATATGAAACACAAAAAAAAATACGCCCAAGTATTGACTAACGACAACACTCAAGACTCAAAAAACCTTACAAACCAACTATCAACATTTATTAATGATCTCAAGTCATTAATTAACCCACTAATTACTCTTCTCACCACTGTTATAAACAAAATACTATTAAAAAATGACTAACTCTAATAATAACATATCTAAATTAACTATACTTCTTTGGAATGCAAATGGAATAAACCAACATAATAACGAATTACAGCATTTTTTCTTCAAAAAAAAAAATGATATTGCACTAATAACAGAAACACATTTAACACACAAATCTAATTTTAAAATCAATGGCTATACACTTTATATAACCGATTATCCAGACGGTACAGCACATGCTAGTGCTGCAATACTTATTTCTTCTAACATTCAGCATTATCAATCACCTGGATTTTAAGAAAATTTTTTATAAGCAACAGTTATTAAAATAAAAATAAAGAACATACTAACTTCAATTGCGTTTGTTTACTGCCCACCTGGTCAAAACATAAGCTCTAATGATTTTAACAGATTTTTTTCAACGTTAGGTCACTCATTTATTGCTGGAGGCGACTATAACGCTAAGCACAATTTTTGGAGAAGTAAAGCCTCCAATCATAGAGGAAACACCCTTCATACTTTATTAATAAATAATAATTTTTCATACATATCACCTTCAGAACCAACCTACTGGCCAACACATACTACATTTGTAGTAATACTAGAAATATCTAGAAATACTAGATTTTTTTGTTACCAAAATACCTGCTCATATACATACAAGTATTCAAAATGTATCTGATTTATCAAGTGATCATTCTCCAGTAGTACTTTTTATAAAAGAAAAGCCATTATTAAACTCTTTCTTATGGGCCTATGAATTAGGATAGTTTCAAACAAAATCTAGACAACAAAATTACTTTAAAAATACCCCTTAAATCTCAAGAAGATATAGACTCTATCACACAAATTATTCAGCAAGCAATTACTATTTCATCAAAACATTCTAACTTTCAATTAAGTAATTCTATGGAAAAATTATCTCTAACTATTGAACAATTAATTATTTTAAAAAAGCGAGCCAGAGCTAAATGACACAATACTAGATTACCAAGCCAAAAACAATAATTTAATAGGCTAGCAAATGCTTTGAAAAAGAAACTGTCTGTTTTCAAAGCAGATCAGTATAAACTGTATCTTAACTCTTTAAATCAAAATAATGGTTCTCTTTGGAAAGAAACTAAAAGGCTCATAAAAAAAAAAAAGAAAATATACCTCTAATAAGCCAAGAAAATGGCACCTTAGCTATAACGGACCAAGATAAAGCTAACATTTTTGTGGCACAATTGGCAAGAACATTCACTTCCAATACTAATTTATACTCTGACAGTAATTTCAATGAAGAAATAAAAACCTTCTTAACAACTCCACTACCAATGGTTTTACCAGCCAAATATATAACTCCAGGTGAAGTAGAGTATTTAATAAAAAAACTTCCTCTAGGGAAAGCACCCGGTTATGATCTAATTACCAATAAAATTTTAAAAAATGTATCACAAAAAACCATGCTTTTGTTAACCTACATTTACAATGTGATGCTAAGGTTATCATATTTTCCTATAATCTGGAAATTCGCAACTATTATTTTAATACTAAAGCCAAACAAACCATAAAACCTCTCTACGTCTTACAGATCAATAAGTTTATTACCAGTATTAGGAAAACTTTTTGAAAAAATATTACTCAGAAGACTACAGCCTATTCTATCATTACATAACATTGTACCAAATAGTCAGTTTGGGTTTCGCAACAGACATTCAACAATACATCAAATACACCGACTAACTGATGAAATTGCAACAATGCTTGAAAATAAACATTATTGTGCCGGTCTATTTTTGGATGTAGCGCGGCCTTTGATAGGGTTTGACATGAAGGCTTACTATTCAAATTAAAACACTATTTACATGCTCCATATTTTCTTATTATAAAATCATATTTGGAAAACAGACACTTTGTCGTTCGCCAAGGAAATGATTTCTCATCATACCAAAAAATAAATGCAGGTGTACCTCAAGGAAGTGATTTATTACCAGACCTTTATAATGCATTCACTGCCGATATCCTTCAAACTGACAAAACAATTTTAGCCACATACGCAGACGATACAGCAGTATTATCAGTTAATAGTGATCCTAACGCAACCAGTCTCTCACTCCAAATCATGCCAACCTTATTGATTTGAGAGGCAAAAAAATGGTGAATAAAAATCAACGAAGATAAATCGGCTCAAATCACCTTCACTCTAAATTTCAAACCACAAGAATGTCCTCAAATTATTATGAATAATATTCCTATACCAATAAAATAAGAGATCAAGTATTTTTCATCTAAAAGAAAAAAGAAAAAGTGCAAGAAACAGACTACATCTTCTACGTCCTCTCCTTATTTCAAAACTTCAACTTATAACAAAACTATTATATGCCCAGTTTCGTCTTATGGTATCCAAATCTGGGGTCCATCCAAACCATCGAACATAAAGCCAATACAATTGTTCCAATCAATAGCATTCAGACTTATAACTAAATCTCCATGGTATATAACAAACATAAATTTACATAAAGATCTACAAATTCAAAATGTAAACGAACTTGCAGTAATGTACTACAAGCGATTTCATCAAAATTTATTAACACATAGAAACTCACTAATTAATAAAATGTCAACAAACACTCTATCCTCACAGACTAAAATGGCTATGGAATAGAGATCTTCTAAATAACTAATAACTAACTACTACTTGTAACTAAAATAAATAAAGAACATGCTAGAGATGTGACTAATGAGTCATCTCCTCATCATTTATAATTTATGGCATTCTTAAAATTAATATTATAAACATCTAATTTACTTATTGTACCAATTTGTAGTATAGATTGTAAATATTCAAAGTTAATAAAAAAAAGCAATTTGATGAAATAAAATTTAGTTTTTAAAAAAAAAAGTTTAGCAAAATAGACCATAATAAAATATTATTAAAATGATGAACTTTGCATTTTATTGGAAATAAATCTGAATAATACCTACGTTTCTAAAATTAAGGAAAACTAAATAAAATTTCGGATCATCTTCGTCAAAATCAAGAAATACACAAAAAAAATGTACAAATATACATTTTTTAAATTTTATAATTTTTGACTGCTGCCAAAATAGCTGAAATATAGAAATTAGAAAAAAAAATACCTCACATCAGAAGATGATTGTTCAATTACATGGAGTAAAGCTTGATGATCACAATGAAGAACAAATAATATTGGAGCTAAAATTTCATGCATTCCCTAAAATAAAAAAAATTGTTTTTAATACATATATGCCATAAGTTATCCCTTATAAGGGAAACAACTCAATATTTTTAATGGAAAAATACATATTTAACTAGTTTATATAATGGCTGGTTAATAACAACTTTTAAACCAGTAGTTCAGAAGATATAAATATTTTTATACCTGGGTAAGAGGAGTAGAACTGTAGAGTGATGCATAATGATAGCATAACCTGCACCTTGTCTTCAGTCAACATTTAAAAATGTTAATAACTCATGAAATACTCGTTCAAAAGTTATTATTGATCATTCATTTTTTTTGTTGGACCATTTTCTATTATATGAACTAGTTAAATATGTATGTTGCATTTTAAAAAATTGAGTTGGTTACAAGATAAGGGATAAATCTAAAAAATGTTTTATTAGTTACAAATCAAGAAATAAATAATACTAATCAAAACCAAATAAAATAATTATTAATTTAGGAGAAAATTAGTGGTGAACGATAAATAAATCATCCTATAAATAAATAATCCTTTTTTTTATTTTATTAAAAGTATTAATTAAATTTATTAACACAGATTTTTAGTTCCAGCTTGTAAAGTGAGGTTGTACTAAATAATAAGCTAATTTTTTGGATGTTATAATTTCAGCTCTAAATAATAATGTTAGAAATATTTAGTATTACAATTTTTACATACTTGTCGGTAACTTAAATCAGGATATTCTCTAGAATAACAAAATAGTATGTTAACCATTATGTTTTGTATTCTTTCTGTTTGAAAAAATTGAATTCCAGGAGAAGTTCTTATGACATCTTGTTCAATAAGTTTTTTCAATTCCACATCTTTAAAATACTGTTTCCAGATACTCTAAAAAAAATTATTTATATTTAAAAAATAGAATCAAGTATCAATTATACTAATATAAAAAGTTAAAAAATTATAATAATTATTACTCAGATTAATATTGCATCTTACATTATCATTTTGAGAAAGTGGATCATCAGGTTCTGAACCTTGTAAATGTGGATCATTATAATGTTTTACTTTTTTCTGTTTATAAATTGTGCGATATTCATTAATAACTGATAACCATTTACTAGAGTCTAATGGCATTATGTCTAACATAATACGCCAGTAAACACTACGAAATCTTGAAGCTCGCAAATCACCTTGGATAGCAACATTTCTTAAATCATTGATACTAGTGATGTTAAATAATGAATACCACTCTTGTCTGAAAGTAGTATAGTATATCAAATACATACATAATTTAATTACCTTTTATATAATTTATAACTAGTTTCTCTAACTGTTTATTAAATTATTCATTTCATTAGTTAATAAATCAATCAAACTAAGAACCACAATTCTATTTATATAAGACTTACTCATATAATTTAACTGCCACATTTTGACCATCTTCTAGATTATTCACATAGCCATCTACATAAAACATCTATATATAAAAATATATAATTATTTGTATAACATAATCATTAGATTAAATAAAAAATCATAGAGAAAAAATATAATTAAATATAAAGATATTAAAAAAATTTACTAATCAAAAATTTTAATAAATAATAAATATTTGAAGAAAGCCCTACTTTCAGTACATATATCAAACTATTTTATGGATTCGTAAGACATTACACACTAAGTGTTACAAAGGTTAGATTATTTATAAGCAAAAATTTTGTGATAAATTCATAGCTGTGTATAATTACGATTGCAAGTAAAATATGCAATATGCAATCATCTTACTTTATCAGTCAAATAAATTTAATTTTTAATGTTTCATATTTATCCACCATGTAATGAATGTTATTAGTTCAATGATTTAATCTTCGGAAACTACTGTTATCATTTTTTCAATTTCTTGATACTACTTTCTATTATGGTGGTGAGTAAGCTTTGTACTCCACCACATATTCTCTACTCTTATAATGTAATCATTAGGCTCGGAATTCAATACATATCGCATTTTTTTGTAGAATTATCCTATGCGATATTTCCATGCACAAAATTGGAATTGTGTAATGGAGCCACCTTAAATTACAATGGAAAACTAAAAAAAAAATCACTATTATTAAGTATTAAACGTATTAGACATTTTATACATTGAAAGATTTTATTTCTTATTTTCCCTTGCTATTTGAGGTCAATAAACGCAATATCATATAATATTGAATTTAAAACTTGGAAACTAATCAATTAGTTTTTTCAATCCAAAAAATTATTTATCTTAAAACTGTTTATTTAATTTTGGCGGTCTTGCACTAAGGGTTCGATTCATTTATAAATTTTTACCACAAACGAAAAAATAGTTGATTAGGGGGGCAACATTTTTTTTTAATAAATTGAAAGTTATAATTGTTCATTGCATTTATAGAATTATAAATCATTAAATTAGACAAAAAATAACATTTAATAAAATCAAGCTAATAAATAAAAATAAAATTTACCAATTTTTAAAATGCATGGTATAGTTACACTGAAATTACTAGAGAAATACAAAAAGTGCCGTGGTGCATGTTGTTTGCTAACGATATAGTGTTAATAGGAGAAAATTAATCAAAGGCTAGAAGTGTGGAGATCAGCTCTTGAAGAAAAGGTTTTAAGATTAAGTAGGAGTAAGATAGAGTATATAAAGTAAGAGTTTGATAAAGGAGAACACGAGGTAGGTGAAATAAGGAGATCAGTGACAATAGGCGGGGACGTGATTGGAGAGGAGAGTTTTAAGTATTTAGGATCAGTTGTGCAAAAGAGCGATGGTATTGATGAGGATGTAAGACACAGAATTAAGTGCGGGTGGTTGAAGTGGAGAGAAGCGTCTGGTATCTTATGCAATAAAAGAATTCCAATGAGGCTGAAAGATAAATTCTACAAGACTATAGTGAGACCAGCTATGATGTATGGTTCATAGTGTTGGGCGGTTGATAAGAAAGTAGAGCAGAGAATGAGTGTAGCAGAGATGTGATGCTTAGATGGATGAGTGGAGTGACTAAAAAAGATAGGATAAGAAATGAGCATATAAGAGGGAGTATAGGTGTAGTGTCAATGGTGGATAAGATGAGAGAAAATAGACTTAGATGGTTTGGTCATGTTATGAGGAGAGAAGAATTGAAAGCCGTAAGAACAGTTATAGAAATGAATGTTGAAGGAAGAAGAGGTAGAGAAAGAAAAAAAAAGGAGATGGAGAGATGTTATTGAATGCGATATGAAGACAGCTGATGTGAGCGTAGAGGATGTGGGAGATCGTGTCAAGTGAAAGTTTAGGATAAGGGTGGCCAACCCCAAGTGGTTGGGATTAAGGCGAGGAAGAAGAAGAAGACATGGTATAGTAACACTCAAAGTAGATAACAATGTATAATTATAATATTAAACATTAATTAACTAAAATATTTACTATAGATATTTTGTTTATAATTAAAACAATACAATAATTTAAGTTAAACAAATATTTTTAACATAATAATGAGAAAAACTAAACATAATATGTTCATTTAAACTAACAAATAATAAATATTAATATAATATTTGTTAAGAGTTAACTATAAGTATATATATGTATGTTAACAGTACATCATATTTTTTTTTTTTGTTTAACTACCTAACTATTTGTACAATTACAATGAAAAAGAAACATACTGCAATGAAAAAACAATAATTCCCCATCCACATGAACTATATAACACAAAAATAAATTGATAAATAATTAATACATGTATGATATGTGAGGATAAAAGTGAAAGTGCTGTCAATTTTCTGTTAAAATAAGTTTAACTTGAAAATAAATATTTCAAAAATAACACTTTCTGTGATATTAACGATAAACATAAAATTATGCTATAAAGCAATATTATTTCATTTTCATTAGATATATTTGTATTCGACTTTATGGAATTAAAATATTTTAATCAATTCTACTGAAAAATGATAAAAATTAACTTTCATCACTTTCGCTCTCATTTCCATATATTATTCTTACCAATGTTTTAGAAGATGTCGACAATTTCATAGAACTCATTGTGAAAGTTGCTAAGGATTGTAAGATTGCTGCTAAGAGGTTATTTAAACCAAAGATAAATCCATGCCTATCCCTATTGGCAAATTTTGCGATTTCTGCACTACAATTTATTACAACATCCTTATTATTAAGTTCATCATTATTACATTAAGAAGGACATTTAAATAATTTATGTAAAAATTTAAAAAAAATTTGGAAGAAATGAGTAATAAGAGGTATGATATACTACTTCTAATATATTGTCAAACCTATTCTGAAAAAATGATATAGTAGAAGTTGTATATAGAATGACAATATTCTTAAAAATATTTCCTTATAGAAATATATCTCTATATTATACAGTTTTAAGTAAGCAAGGAAATGGATTTCAATTATTCTCATTGTTTGTAACAATTGACCCATTTACTTACTTTTATAACACCCTGTATAAGTACATATAGAAGGGCAACAGGTAATGTCCAAAATATAAATTGGACATTGGCCATATGAATTATTAAATAAATAAATATGACACTTTTGATATAATAAGAATAATGTTTAAATCAAAGTGAAAAACCTGTGTAAATATTTCGATCCAATAATAATATTTATTTTGCAATGATCGAGAACAATTCAGTTTTGATATCATTTTTGATTTTTGTAGTTTTAATATCAAATGTGATATTGTAAATGAATATTATTAACATACTATAATAACATGTTAACTAAAATATTTAAATTAATCTCCTAAAAAGTTGACTTTTTGCACTTATTATATAAGGACCCTTAGGCACAAAATTAAACTTTGGAACACCTGGACTTAAATTTATTGCATGTTACTATGATAACTGAAGCAACTAATTTATCTATCACCTATCAAATACATAAAAATAATCAATAAGCATAATTCTACAAAAAGATTTTTATCCAACCTGGCAATGGTCATTGTAACTTGATAGGTCATACAAAAAAAAATGAAATTTATATAAGATATATAAATTGAATTCCATATAACTGAAGTGTATAATGACATCCACTGGATAATAGCGCTAATTAAAATGATAATATTACTATATTTATCTATATCCATAGTTAATGTACCACACAATATAGTCATACCAAAACCTAAAAATAACAAAAATTTATAATCAACTTTTATTTTAAATAAGTTTATATTTTAAGAATAACGGTGATTTCTTAAATTTGTAGAACTAAAATTCTAAAATATTGTAAGAATTCACAAAATAAATTTTTATATAGTATATTTAATATTTAACTAATAAAAGGATAATCTATCTAAAAAATAAATTAACATAAATCAATAAAACATACAATTGCAATAACAATCATTAATTATCAGTAGTCCTATAGAATTAAAAAGTTAATTATAAAAAAGTTCTAGGATAAATGTGATGCCTCTCTATTTACTTGATAATTTTATCCCAATTTGATAAATGTACTATTTATTATTTAATATGGTGTACCAAAACTAAGATGAAACTCTTTACTAAAGTTTTTTATAAATAAATTATAGAAACAATGTTTTAAAATAAAATCTTACTAATAACAGTGTAAATTGCATCAACAGCTCCATTCCATTCTGAATATTTTACACAATTTTCCTCAAAACAATTATTATGACTTAAAGATTCCCAAAATGATTGAATATAAGACAATACCTTCAACAATATGTTATTTATAATATTTTATTAACATAATAATTATAGTTTTTATATATTATAACACATAAACTGAAGTCTTAAAAAGTTTAATTTTATTATAATTAAAAAATACAGTATATGTGCACTAATACACCGATATTTCGATTAATTTTATTTGAGATCAATTATGTGATAGAAAAATATATTAACTAATTTAAACATATCATTGATACCTGATTAAAACAACAAGTTGCTGCTATCATCCAAAATGACCATTTCAGAACTGGAATACTCTTATACTCATTAATCATAGATTTAAAATACATAAGAGATGTTTTTTTATCCTGAAATTTTGATTTAAACAAATGTCATTTAAAATGAACTTTTAAAAATTTATTAATAAACATAAGTAAAAAAATGATTAAAAAATGTTTGTGATTAAATCAAATATTTTTCATATCTAAATAATAATACAATATAATTTCTTATTTTGAATATTTAAAAAATATCTGTACTAGAACAAAGCTTTAAAAAAGATATTATTACTTAAAATGGAAATAAAACCTAGAAGGGGATATTACCTCTATACAATTTTGAAAATTTCATATATCCATACAAATACATTAAAACCATATACATTCTAATAAAACTTAAGAGGATTCTTTTTAGCCATCATTAAAAATAGGGGAACTAAATTCACTTGCGTCTCTCTCATTTGACCTGACTATAATGCAATAAATCAATAATGAATACATACAAAATTTAAATTTTCAAAATAATCTTATTTTTATACAAAGAGGTAAATAATATTAATTACTTACACAGTCATCATTATCTTTTGGATAAAAAATAACTTCTTTTAATGTTTCCTCATCAACATTCATTGGTATCATTTCAGTCTCATGTTTACTTAATTTTCTTTTTGAAGGTAGTAGGATTATAGTCCAAAATGTTCCAGCTGTTAAACCTGAAAATTATCAACTGCTCTAATATTAATTAATTTATAATTACAAAATTTACAAAATTGTTTAAATTATTTTACTTGCAAATGTAAAAAAATTCAATTGATATACATTAAATAATTTTATTGAGATTGAGACTTGGGCCATAATGCTTGAAAAAAAATGACCCATCAAGAGTGCTGCTCTCATATAACTAGTAACTTTTTGATAATATTTTACTTCTACAACAGAATAAATATAAGTGGAATATCCAACTTCAGCTGCTGTAAAAATTCCATATAATATTTCAACAACCTAGAATTTTTAATTCAAATTTTATATTTATTTGAATATTTGTAATGTTAGATAATTACATAAAATAATTATTATTACAACATACTACTATTGATGTAAAACTTGTACATATTGATAAAATTGCATAGACACATGCTCCACATATAGCTTGGATTACTATAACTGCTTTGTATCGTAACAAATCTATCATTAATGTGACAAAAACCATAGATACCATCATTGAATAAATTCCAATGGGAAGTATTTCATTATTAATCTAAAATATTAATAAGTATCAATTTATTTAAAAATGTAATATACATAACTTAATTTAAAATATGGATAAAAAAAAAATTTGATTGAAATGGGATAAATGTAAATAATTGAGATAGTTATAAATTCATTTTTCTTCTTAGAATATTTTGCAGACTTTATTTTAGATTTAAATGTTTTAGTCCTTATATATGTTGCTATCATATTAATTATAAAGTTCTAAATAAAAACTTATGCATTGAAAATGCATTATTTAAAAAACTGCATCTACAATTACCCCACTTTACCTAGTACCATTTACCAATAAAACAACTTCTATAACAAAACATTTTAATTATAACACTTTTACTAAAGATTGTTTCTTTAAAAATATCTAAGACATTAGTTAATATGATAATTTTAGAAAATCAAATCAGAATTAAATATACTAGACATAAATAAAAATAATATTCTTTAATATATTATATAAAAAAACATTGGTTTTTAATAGGATTACTTTAAAATTAACTTAAGCTAAACACTTTTTCAAAAGCAATAAGTTTACATATATTTTGCTGTTAATGAAATATTACAGATAATATGATTAGCTCATATATTAAGTTAAATTTGGTAAATATTTAACAAAAAATCTTCTTTGTCTACAACTGTTTTAGTAAAATCACTTATTAAAAAATAGTACTGATATTCAGTCAATGTAATTAAAATACTGTCACTCTAATATATTCTTGATCTTTGTTACCATCACAAAATAAAAGTTTTATAAACTTTATGTTTTTTTTGTTTATTTACTTGTTCCTCAGTGAAGTTCATTCGTGACCCTTGTAAGAAAGGTATGATATAAGATTCTGATGGCCGAAATTCTTTAAGAACTCCATATATACATAAACAAATAGATATTGTTTTCCAAAACATGGTTGAATATTTTTATTATAAATTGGTGCATTTAATTCAATAATAATATATGAACAAAATAAATAAATAAATATACAAAATAGAATAATAAACTAATGAATTTTGATAAGTTTATAAATTAAATTATTTCTCTATAGAAAATTAACTATAAGAGATATCTTTAACAGCTTACTAATATTTGTTAAAAACGATTTTTTTATAACGATTAGTCATGCCTGCAAAAGCGGCAATCTATTTGGCTTTTATCTCTGATAAAAACTAATAAAATTATGAGACATTAACACGACCTTAAAGATAATGTCAGCGAAATTCATTCTTATCAGTGTTCTGTTTATTGAGTCGAAAACGATTCAGATATCAACAAAAACGCTGTTTGTAGGAGAATTTAAGGTTATCGTATATCAGTATATAAAAATTACCTTTATTACCCTTGAAAAAAAACCCAGCACAGGGGGGTCGCGACACAGTGGTGACGTGGCATAGTTGGATCAAGTATAATGATATCTGACAGTGATTAAAATCACTATAATAAAAAAACGCTTCAATGTAAATCTTTAGATAGTGTTAAATTTAAAAAAATTGGTGTATTATTCCAAAAGCTACATGATCTGCTAGTTCCTTATTAATATCCTGATTAAGATATAGTATGTCAAATGAAAAAGAGATTATTAAAAAATATTATTTCTCATAAAAAATTATATTGATCCATATATTTTTCAAAAAGTTATAGCATAATAAAATTAAAAGTGTAAATTATAAAATCGAGAATTTTCACACAAAAATAGCATTCGGTAGCCGTTTTCACCGTGAAGACAAGTCCAGAGGTCAAATTTTTTTTTTCAAATTAAAGTACATTACATTAGCTTTAATTTAAGATATATATAAAAGTGTCAGACCTTCCGGAACATTTCAAAAGTTAAGTTGAAAAAGTTGTCATTTTAAATCCCCCCTGTGGGCTGGTAAAGGGTTAAATTTATAAAAAAAATATACCAAATGATAGGTAAAGACATCAAACATCTATATAAAAAAAAAAATTACTTATCCATACATTTTCTAAAAAGTTATAGCATTATTAAGTTAAAAATATAAAAAAAAATTATTATACAAAAATCGTAATTTTTTATTAACTTTGATGTCTATTTTCACCACGAAGAGTAGTCCAGGGGTCAAATTTTTTTTTTTTAATTAAAGTATATTACATAAGCTTCAATTTAAGATATATATAAAAGTGTCAGACCTTCCGGAACACTTTCAAAAATTAAGTTGAAAAAGTTCTACTTTCTATATGCATTTTTTATATTTGAAGGCCCCCCATATATAGGGAAATAGTCTGATTTAAAAAAAAAGTATATCCAATGAAAGATGTATATAAATACTACTTCTCATGAAAAAATTGTATTGATCCATACATTTTTTAAAAAGTTATAGCACATTAAAGTAAAAAATGTAAATTATAAAATCGAAAATTTTCACACAAAAATAGCATTTGGAAGCCGTTTTCACCATTATGACAAGTCCAGAGGTCAAATTTTTTTTTTTTAAATTAAAGTATATTACATTAGCTTTAATTTAAGATATGTATAAAAGTGTCAGACCTTCCGGAACATTTTCAAAAGTTAAGTTGAAAAAGTTATTTTTTTTTGAAAAAGTTACGGCAGTTTTTAGTAAAAAAAATTGAAAAAAATTCGAAAATTAGCGATTTTTAAATTTGTAATTTTTTTGGAGGTTTTCCCCATTTATNAGTTTTTAGTAAAAAAAATTGAAAAAAATTCGAAAATTAGCGATTTTTAAATTTGTAATTTTTTTGGAGGTTTCCCCCATTTATGGGGAACGAGGGAAATTTTTTTAATTTTTAAGGGTAATGTCTTCGACTAGATACGATTTGTGATCTTTTGACGTATCATTGAAAGAAATCGGTTCGGTGAGAGCTGAGAAAAAATGGTAACAGACTCAAAAAAAAAAATAAATAAAATAAATAAACACATCATAGTAAAACCAATACCTTCTCAGCTTCGCATCGAAGCTAAAAGAGGAGCACTCTAGTCCTCTCTTTGACTATGTCACTCGTTCCAATCTTATAAAGCATAAGAGATGATCTTGAAGCTCAGTACAGTAAGGATCCGACATAACAAAAGACAATGATTTAAATCACTATATATTCTAATAGTCAATAAATTAATGACTATTTGGACTAGATATTGAACTTAGTAGGTTTGTGGTCACAATGTTTTTAAATTAAAAATATAATTATCAAATTACATAATTTAATAAATTAGAATGTGAGTAGTACAGTTAAGTATTTTATTGATAAATGGAGCAACTTTAGATTTTTTTTTTTTTAAGTAGTTAGGCTAAATTAATATTCATTTCTAATCGTTCCTAAAAATTTTCATTGTTCCTGAGCTGCAGATGTTAAAATATTTAACTTATAGAGGTCATTAAAAACCCAACAACTACTATTTAAATAAAATTAGTATTTATGAAAATCAAGGTACCGATAAACATATTATTGAAGAATTTAAACTAATACTGGTGGTCAGGATTGTTACGTTTTAAACATATTTAAAACAAAAAAAAAAATTTAATTACATTGGTCTTTAGGGACATTCTAAACGTTTTAAACCTTTTACTTATATTTTAACATGTTTTCCAAAAACCCTGCTGGTGACAAAATTTAAATTTTAGTAATATTTTAATTGATAAATACCAAACTATAATGTTAATTTTATTTATGGAAGGCATGATGATAATAAAAGTGATCCTATAGTTTTCGTGTCAATATGTTTTATTGGGGGGATATTATTTTAACTTCAAACCTCTCTTAAGACAACTTTTGTAAGAGAGATGAAAATACTATATATAATACATATATATATTAAATTTATACATGTTTTTTAATAATAATAGTTATTAAGTGAGTGATATAAAATTATTATTTTGAGAGTCTTATGAAGTAATTTACTCCCATGAGTAAATTACTGTCGTACTAAATTTACAGTAATTATAAAATTATAGAAAATTTATATAAAATATATATTATATAAAAGGTTCATTTTATTAATATCCTAAGATCATCTAAACCGTTATTTTTTTAATATTTTAAGTTCATTCTATTAAATTTTTATTTTGATTATATTAATTACTAAATATCCATACACATTAAGTTGTATAAGTACTATATCAATTAAAAAACCATCAGCTTATAAATTTACATCATTTTTCTATTGAGGTGAAAATAAAAAATGCACATTAACAAATAATTGTGTTTTTAGTTATTTATTTCCTATAAAACAAACGTTTTATTTTTAACATATATTTTCCTGTTCTCATAATATATAATGCTCATATAATAATTACTTATTTTATACGACTGAATGTAACAAATGTTTTAAAAAACTAATAATTAACCAACAGATTTTTATATATTATTATTTATATTTATAATACTTAATTATTTAATAATATAGAGTATTTTTTTACAATTGACTACATTGTTTTTGTCTTTTTTTATATAATTAATATTATATTTATAATATAATTATAACATATTTGTTAGTTATTACTTCGTACACATAATAATACTAATAATTATTATTATCAACGTAACAATAACAATAATAACAAGTAATAATTTGAGTAATATTACTGAACATAGTAATTTTACCCATATTTATAAGTGTAAATGATGTATATCGATGATGTTTAGTGTAGGTTTAGTACTCAATAACAGTAAGCATAGAGTCAATTTATAGGTAACTACATTATTATTGTTATTGTTAGTATTATTATAATTATTATATAAAATAATGTTTCATCATTAATACTAATAAATTAATCGACCTCTATGGAATGGTTAATCCTTGGTCTCTACTCAAGTGGTGTAAAAATACCTTAAAACTTTTCATCTACAGAGCACGCAGTAAAATTTTAAATTAACTCATAATAGTTGGTAATCATTATAACTTACCTAACAAAGCTATAAAACATTTTAAAAATTTATTTTATTACATTAACAAAAATTTAAATGATTTAAGAACAAAAAAAGAGAACAAATAATTATGATTTTATTAAATATAATTGTATGGCTATGTACACGTTAATATGTAAGTAAAATAAAGAACGTCTTCTCAAAACCAACATACTTTTTTTTTATTCACAGGTATTTCGACGGTTTGTAAACGTAATTATTTTTTCTGTCTTTATCTAATTTATTTGATACTTGATGTTAAGTAAATTGTATGTATGCAATAATTATTTTATATAGATTCGTGTTGGTACCATAGTGTTCTGACAAATAAAGACAATTATTGAATAATATTTTTATTTATACATGATACGTTTTTAAAAGTCGTTTTATTTTTCTCATAATAAATGGTTATTATGTATATATTAACTGTCTTTAGTTAAATTTTACACATTTACTTAAATAAAGAATGAAAATAACAAAATAAGAAAATTTCACTAGAGAAAGTGAATATTTCAGTATACGGTTTTTTAACTTGTACAATTATTTATAACAAAATTCTCAGATAATTATAATTTTTTAAGTAAATAGTCTCGTCTTAATTTTTGTCTTATTTATAAATATTGCAATAAGTATCCGAACACTATATTACATAATACATTTAAATTTATTATAGTTTTTATTTTTTTATAATTTTGCTTTTATCTCTGTTTTTTTTTTAATGAGATCTTACTCGAAAAGCTTCCTGGTAAGATATCAAAGAATGAACACTTTCCAAAAAGTAATTAATTTAAAATTTAAAATCAAAAAGTAGAAATTAATTTTAATACAGATATTTTCACAAAATATTAGACTTACAGTATAGAAATAACAATACATTTTTTTTTATCTAGTTTTATCAATTATTACAATAGTATATTGAGCATTTTTCTATGAATAATGACTTAAATAAGACTTTAATAATTGGCACGAAATAAATGAATTATAATGAAAGGTACACAAAAATAATGCAAATTAATCAACAAATAAATTGTCAAGTTATATTTAGTAATTTTGTAGGCCGCTATAGTATGATACGCTGTTCGTTAACTATAAATATAATAATTTATGGACGGAACTACCTACAAATAAAGCTAGTCTGTATAATATATTTATATATAGCCATCAATATATATTTATCTTCTTTTTTTATTGGAAACCATGATTACCTAGTCCAGTCAATTTATAGTAATCAACTCTACTAATTTTTATTTGTTAATTACAATGTTTTATGCTACACCTATCAAAGATTAGAAAGTATTTACATAAACCACAATGAATTAAATTCAATTCATAGATTTTTTTAATTCTAACAGGAACGATTTACAATAAATAAATATTAAACTTAAAAACTCCTTAGATCTATGTATGTTTGTGCATAATCGTTTACAAATGTTAATAAATTTTCAAGGCCTAATTCGGAGTTAATTCAAAAAAAACAATAATAATAAACAAAACATAAAAACGTTAATCTTAACAATTTAAAAGAAAAGCTAAATACACATTTATTATCACACACCTTATAATATGACTACTTCCAGCGTCACACAAATAATTTTAAATCTTAATTATTATTAATAACTTTAGGCCACCAGAAAACGAATTATAGTTTAAACATCAATAATTATTTTTTTGTATTGTAATATTTTTAATTTTCTTGTTCTATTCATATTTCCATTCAATATATAACTTTAATCAATTCATGAAAGAACAATTCCTGTGAATAATACTACTAGAACTGTTCTAGTAATGTACTTCGTACGATATTTTTATAAAACATTCAATCTTGAATTATAATTTAACATAATTATCATTCTGACTGTAATTTAAAGGATTGTATTGACTTGAACTCATGTTTTTTTTAATTAATATTATCTATAGTTATACTTAATTCACTCAGAATTTTTTTTTTCGTATATCTAACGATATTAATATTATTTGATATTAAACATTTACCTATGAACATAATTTTGATAAGAATAGTTTTTTTACGAGTGATTTATAAATACGACTAAGTCCACTTTTATATAAAAAATTATTTGAATACAATGTAGTATGTTTTCGAAATACAAATGTCTGTTTTTTTTGCAATCACGAGATAATTCCCAGCAGAATTTTTGATTGTTAACCCTCTGTACAGTCATTTATAAGCTTCTTCATTCTTTTACACTGAAATCTATTAAATAATTCAACAATATCCGGCTATTGGCTTTTTACATCCGTTCAACGTGCATAACCACTTCCTAACTCCCTCTTTTATAACAAGTTCCGGTTATACACCTGACAGATAACGTTACACTTTTATTGCAGTCTCAACTTTACTATAAATTTTTCGATGTTTAAGAATTATTATTACAATATCTTTATACGCAATATCACGTGTGTTTTGTAAACAATACCCGGTTTATAATCAAAAAATATGTGATTACACGCGTTAGAAACTAAAATAAATAAATGAATGAATGAATAATAATAATAATAACACAAATCTTTTAAAATTATTTATTGGTCCCAACCAGAAGAAATCTGGCGCCAACAAAAATAATTATGATGACCAAATGGTAATTTACTAGTGTGTGTTTTTCCTCTATTAGGATCCGAAGACTTTGTGTCTCTTAGACGACCAGTTCTTTTTTTAAGTTTAAATGAATTGTACAAATTGACTTTTTCTTTATACCTATCAATCAGTTATTTTCATTTTAGTATCTTCAATAAAGATATATAAAGCAAAACGTTAACGTCACGTTCTGTCGTTTGATCAAAACAAACTAGCTCGAGATACATGCTCACGTTGAATTCGCAAAATCGATTATGTTTTTCGATATTTATTTAGTTTTTATTTAGTTCATTTTCGCCTCGATGCGATTTTATGCATTATCATCGTCATGTAACCACTGGAAGTGCTATCCGGAAAGATATTTGCTGTGTTGGGACTAGCTGAGGTAATAGTAGTGCCAGAAATAATGGCAGTATTATTGTGGGTGAGGTACGAATAACGCCAGAGTCTGACAGACTGTAGTCTTTGCACGTGGACCCTTCGATTTCTTGTTGAACCCTTTGAATGCAGACTTTTCTCTGGTCTATTGATCTGGTTCTTATGAAGCTGTTGACTGGTCGATCGTCTATGCATAGGGAAGAATTTCGTATGCATAGCCCGTCATCGCAGTACTCGTAGCAACAGTCTTCCTTTATGTCCACAGCGGACATTTGATACCCAATGTCAGGATCTGTAAAAAAATCAGTAAAATGTTACTTTCTATATATCTAATAAGAGATCATAAAAATAATAAGATATAACTTGAATTATTAAAAATAATATTAACGTTAATATATGTTATAAATCTAATCAACTATAAACAGTAGGAATTAATTATCTCTTTGTAATTTTCATAATAAAATTATAACACATTTTATTATTATTATATAATCAAAGGATTATTTAAAGAAATGTGATCTATTTTTACAGTGTGATTTAATGTTAAACACTCAATATCTTCTAAAATGATAATATTATTAATTTAGTTTTATATACTTCTCGATTTATCAATCATTAAATACTTTTTAGAGGTTCATACGTTCTGTAAGGGTATAGATTTTATTACTGTAAATAACATATATAAACATATAAGATAATTTCACTAATAAACTAACAGTTAAAAGTTTCTCAATTTCAACATTTTTTATTATATTGAATTTTTAATTTTAGCTTCGATGCGAAGCTGAGAAGGTATATTTTAACTATGATGTGTTCTTTTTATATCTGTCGCCACATTTTCTAAGCTCTCGCCGAACTGATTTCTTTTAACAATATGCCAAAAGAATACAAATCGTATCTAGTTGAAAACATTGGCTTTAAAATTAAACAAATTTCACTCGTTCCCTATAAATGGAGAAAATCCCCCAAAAAATTATAATTTTTAAAATCGGTAAATTTTGACATTTTTATTTCTTAAAATTGCCATAACTATTTCAAAAACGACGAATTAAATAATTTTTTTTATAAGAAACTTAAGGTATTTTCCTACCCACAGAGGTGAATTCAAATAGTAATTTTTTTACAAAAGTCAATTTTTTCAATTTAACTTTTGAAAATGTTCCGGAAATATTGCGTCATTTAAACATATATTAAATTAAATCTTTTAAAATGCATTATAAGATAAAAAAAAAATTTGTTCCGATATATTGTACGTACAAATCGCTATTATTTAGATAGTTTACTTGTTTATATTGTTTAAAATTACCAGCAATACCTAATTACAATTATATTAGTCAATAATTTAGTTAAAAACTAGTGGTGTTCGTTTATTGGTGATGCTGTCCAACAATGGAAAATAATCTAATTAATAAAATAACCAGTCAATAACAATTTCTAGACCTATTATTTCGGATCTTAATACTATTCTAAAATAGAGTCTAGGGATGAGGCAACGATGTGATAATTTTTATTATTCGTTAATTTATTATTAATTTTTTTTATATCCGACACACTTCTCCTCTTGTCTAAATATAAAAGTGTTGATAACTTCCGAAGTACTGGACCAAAAGTTTCGTCATCGATCATTCATATTCTTAATTAGATTATTTTCAACTATATAATTATAAAATGGAAAATAATGGCCACATATATATTTTAGTAGCTAAGTCTAATTAAATATGTAAGTTACCATAAAAAAAATAAAGTTTGCACCCTTATAAAGAATAAAAAATTAACCTAAAAAGTACTTAATGATTGATAAATCAATAAGTATATAAAACAAAAAAGTCAGAAAAAATTCTTAATAATTATAACATTTCAGGAGATATTGAGTGTCTAACGTTTAGAGGATCACAGTGTATGCAGCGAAAAAGTAATAAAAATTTCATGGCATAATGTCGTTATATTAGTGTAACTACTAAAATAAGATACTTTTTCAAATAACATTTTTTATTTAAACATGTTGTTATATTAAATTTGAGTAATATTAAGAATTTAATTTACGAATTAAAAATGTTTGTACAATGTCTCATTAATTTAAAATTTAAATGTAAACCTGAGTAATAAAGTTAAAAATTATGGTCTTGTATAAAATATACCGTTTACAAGTTTTGGTAATTTTCTATATAGCAAAGCACAGATATCTTCCCCGCGAAATTTTTAATGAATAATTTTTCTGTATATAAGATATTATATAAACTTATTGTTACAGATTGTATGTGAGTATTAAGAAAAATGTGTTTGAAATGATTATTACTATTTAAATTAGAGAGTTAGTAGATAAAAATTCTTACACTCAAAAACGTCATCTTATTGTTTTTAAATCTTTTATTATTATTTTTTTAACTGGTACCATAAATTGATTGCTAATATTACAAGTTTAGAAGTTCAACAAAACGCGGTGTTCAAGTTTTTTCCAATGAAAACTGTGACGCTACTGTAAAATAATAATACGTATTTGCCATAGCAAATATTTCCAGTAATTGACCCGAACAAAACGGTTGAGACAATTTTTCGGTAGACAAATTTTAATAATTGAATCTATTTTTTATTTATTAATTTATTTACTGTTTTGCAGTTGTTGGAAAAACAGTAAATAAATAAATAATGAAACTTTAAAATTTTCAACAGTGGGAACAATACTTCAAGTTTTTTGAAAATACTATTTTAAATATTTTATTAGCCTTAAGTGCGATTAGAATGCAAGGAAACTCTCTCACTCGCCCCTTCGGATTGGTGTTTGACTTTTACGAACAAGATATTCTCGAAAATATTTTTTTATAATTTACGGGTAAATACTAAATTATTTACTGACATTTTGAGCTCATAAAACATTTATAGAAAATATCCTGTTGAACAAATGCTGTACTTAAGAAGACTTTTTCGAGAAACCAAGCAAAAAAGTTGATACGAAAGACTACATTAGATTTTGAAATGATGTTAAAAAATGTTGATCTATTTGGACAGTCTAGTTGTATAAATATAAGTTCTGAAAAACTGTGCCCGCGAATAGAAGGTTGTACAATATGTGCGACCGACATTCTACACATAATTATTATGCATTGTATATTATGATGATACATTTAAATAAGTCGATTTGTTTATTATTGCGATATTTTTAAGCTGGTTTGACTCGTCAACTCATTCCCACATCTGATCTTTAAAATGAGGCTTAAAAATAAACACCATAACTAGTGTGAGATGAGTAGAATAATCTAAAACAGAAAAAATATAATATTTTCTGGTCCATTTCCTCACAAGTGAAATCATTACAAAAATAGGGTATCATAAAAACAACCCTTTTATAGGCATGTTTGCTTGTGCATTTTTGTTACAACATAAATTGTCTTATTCGCGCTAACTATTTTAATTAAATTGTTTGTAAAAATAGCCAACCGGATCAGTTTTGCTTTTTATATCAATAAATTAGCATGCCGAATATTAAAAATCGCATAAATAAACTAAATAAAACGTATTTTTAAATATTTGTAAATCGTTGTTTCGCAAAATAAAATATTAGTTGATTATCGTTTATGTATTTCGCAGGGATTATAAAAATTAACTCGGTCGTTTACGGTTTATTCAACACAATGTATGAAAACCATTCAGAACCACAAGAATGTATGTGTGCTTAATGGTCTGGCGACATTGTCATACATACATTAAACGGAATGTGCCATCAATAGTTTTGTATGTAAATTAAGTTTGTCAATGTAAATTTGTTTGATCACTGAATAATATGATTTACAAATGTTTTGTGTTGACAATTGTATTTAATAACACACTGCGTACTTTCTTCTGGAAAACATCGGAATACTGCCAACATTTGTAACTTTTTTACAAGCCACTTGTGTAGGTATCTGCTCGAACAATAAGCCTCAGTCGTATTTTATCGATCAGTGACAAAATCAACACAATCATCATAATAGTAGATACAAAACAACACGTTTAATGTACTAATCGGATATTTATCGAAAAAGGTTATGAGATACGGTCGTCTCCGTGGCAAAGTAGCGTAACTTGACAAATATTTTTTCGAGAAATACTTACACTAATTATACTGACGCATATTTTAAGCATTTTCGGTATAAAATATCTTTATTATTTTTCGAAACAAATTGAATATGGAAAACCTATTTCCATTGTTAGCCATACAAAGAAGGCGTTTTATTTTCTTCTCCCGAATAATATCGAAAAATCGAGTTACGTACATTTGTCATGGAGATGACGATTTATTGAATCTATCATGAACTTTTTGTTGGATCATAACTTTAAACTTGAATGAACACTTTGATTTTGGTACATTATTCATAATCACGACTAGGTTTCGCTTCACTTTTAATTAATAGATGCGCTTTAACGGTAGCCCCAATAAAGTGTGAAATATGTTAATGTATGATTTTGTTAAAGAATAGCTAAACGTATCATTAGACCACATTGCTGGGTACTCGTTAATGATCGCTAATAACGCAAAATAACATAATCGTGTTCGCAAAGTTTAACATACGTATTGCGTGTACGAGTGAAACTAATTTTAAAAATATTATATTCCCACTGCGACTACAAAATTAGTAATTTCGCGTTTAGTGTTGTACATGTTAATAGTTATTAAAAGCTGTACGACCACTGCCCAGTGTACACGTGTCGCTTCTTCGTATCGTTTGTAACCGCAAGGAAAAACATATTCTCTTATTCGTGAAATATTTGTCTGTAGATTTATCTTTTTGTGCGGTATGAAAAACGATATACAGATACACAAGATGACAAACGAAGGGCAGGAGAATGTATTATTGAAATTGAAGGGAAAAAAACTTAGATTCATACACATATTATATATATATATATATATTGAAAAATCCCAAAAGACATGTACGCACGGAAGTGGTTGGGGGGCAGTCGTACCGTGACGATGGTGGTCCAAAGGGACGGCTAAGGTCCTTAGGAATTGCCCGGGACGGCGACTGCTGTTACCGTCGTAGATAGCAACAACATTTCGTGCATGGATGGCGGGGAAACGACTAGGCGAGGAACAACGACAAAGAGAGATGCGGTACGGACGACGTGACGACGTTCGATTTTTTAACTTAGTCCATTTGCGGAGGAGAAAGGGAGAACTACTGCGCTCATTGTGAGTTATATACCAATGTACAGTTTATATTTAACGGTGTCCACCTACATATATATAAAATGTGCGTGCACCTATAGCCTACCAGCCTACGCATCACTAGAATCGATGGTTTTCGCCTTTTACACTCACACGCTTAAACCGGCTACGAGCTTATAGACGGTATACACATCCTTTGAAAATAAAACGTTCTCACTAAAAAAAAAAAAAATACGTGAACTTTAATTACCTGTACAAGTGAACGCAGCTTCTCCGGCATAAGGGTTAGCATCGGCCACCGGAAGTAGCCACGGACACTTCTGTTCGGTCTCCAGACACAGTGACCGACAGGACTTGACCCTGAACCGACGGTCTAGTTGTTCATCAGGCGGTGTCCAATGTGGTAATACGGCCGCACATGCCCATAACGCGTAGGACTCCTGTAACAAAAATATCAGAATGTTTAATATATAATTTTTTTTTTTTTTTTATTGACTTGTTATTTAATTTTAATTACATTTATAATTAGATATTGTATTATTCGAGTCAATGAGTTTTTATCCATATTAGCAATTGTGTTTAAATTATAACTGGTATACCAACAACGTAGTTATAATAGATATTCAATAAAGTAACATCCTTTAAATAAAACCGAATAACATTCTCCAAGCATTTATTTAAGTCATTGGTGGTCAGTATTTTTAAAATAAATTATGAACTTTTTTACTTATTAAAGTATTTTAGTTGGCAAAATTCAATCTACACGCCTTGTTTCCAAAAATTTATCTTTAAAATCACCCCAACAGAATTCTATAACATTTAAATATTATAAATGTTTAAATTTTCTTTGATATTTCATTTTAAGCGCGAGTATATGAAATAACTGTCAGTTTTATTTCATATTTCAACTCAAATAACTCAAAAAATATAAATAAACTACAATTTATATATGTTTAATAATAAACTATTTTTTTTCATTTTTAATCAATTAATAATATAAGTATGTAAGACGATGTACATAAAAAAACAGGAAATAAAAATCTAACGAAGTTCAATGATCTCATTTTTGTTCAAGTACCATAAGGGGCTATTTGGATTCCCTTATTTTACATAATGTAAGAGTGTTTTGGCTGTGTAGAAAATTCTGTGGTGGAAGGAAGAGACTTTATACTTTATAGCATCATTCACAGATACTACTGTATTATTGGTAGCAAGGGAATCATAAAATCAGGTGTTTACCACAGCAGAAATTGCTTTCTAGGTGATAAATTAGTATTTTTCGAGGTAGAAAATAACAAAAATTTAAAGAAAAAATAAATATTTCTATGTAAACAAAAAAGATAAATCAAATCACTCATTACAAAAAAGATAAATCAAATCACTCATTATAAAAAAGATAAATCAAATCACTCATTATAATTGGTCAAATATTTTTTTTTTCGATTTACTACATAACTTATTCAACTTTGAGCTTAATATATTTTTATAGAAATTTGTTTTTTTTTTTTAATAAATTATCACTCTCAACCACTATTGTTCCATACTGTTTGTCTATTCTGTGATTATTACTTTGACACAATTCATTCAATATTAATGAATTTGATAAGAAAATTATTGATATTGTTAAATGAAAGAAGAAGTTTTTGAAAAGTTCTACAACCATTTTATAAAAAAAAACTATCTCTCAGATAGATCATTCAATTATTACGACTGTAGTTTGACTGAAAATCATGTTTTTTAAAACACATGTCAATATTTGTAGAAATGCGCATAATCTATTTTTTCATCATTAATAAATGTTTATTTGAAAAAATTTCAAACATAGAAATGTAAGCTGTTTGATTAGTTAAAGAATACCATTAAATGAAAATATATAACGTAAATACTTATTTGCTTAACGTGATTTGTGATTGTTAATAACAGTAAATTACTAACTTTAAAAGAATAATAAGCTAGCTAACTCAGATTATGCTCTATGCCAAAATGTAAACTCTTTGTTAGATTAAAATTAAGCCAGTGGTCACACCTTGCCTACACCACCTAGTACTGTTTAATAATTGTTTCACGAAGAAATTGTGAAGCGTTTTCTTAACGTTTAAACTTTAAAGTTTTTCAATTAAAACTTGACATTATTTTATATCATTCTGCCTCCGGGTTTTTTTTATCTCTTTGCATTTTATGTTGCCTACGTAGATCTGTGAATAGAGATCCGGCGTGCCACTTGGAAATCACAGAGACCGGAAAATAATACTGGAGGGCATATGCTTAAGTGGGCTTAGTCTACACAGCCTCTTATCATCTGACAAAAGCGTAACGGGTGTCGATCGGGACTCATTCAAAAGGTCGGCGATCGTTTTATCTTTTACCTTTCCCTCCTTTTTTTGTTCTTATGTCTACTCCCTCTTAACTCTTAAGCGCTTCGTTTTACATTCTTTGTACGTTAGCAAATACTAGGAACACTGAAAAGTATACTCGATGACGCCAATCTGTTCAATTTTATTATTTCATTCTATCACAAGCAAATACACACGTTTTCTTTTGTATATACTCAAGACATCTTAATATTTATAAGATAGGGTTTTTTCCAGATAAAATCCGGCCAATGACTTTTAAGTTTCCCCAAAGCAAAATCGTGAGCACCTCATCTCAGTAACGAGTAGCATTACATGGTTAGGTAATAATTTAGTATAAACAATGTATTATACATTGTATATTATACATATTTAGTATATAAAGTACCACCGCTTAAAATATAATTCTAAACAAATGCAATCTTAAATATTTTTTCAATCTGCAAAAAAAACTTTATAATGAAAATAAATAAATATATTTATAATAATAGTGTATATGTAAATACACTTAAATAATAGTTGTGGCATTTTGATTTGTGAACATGAAATTTAGTTATGGTTAAGTCAGTTTAGATGACAAAAGAAACAGATAAAACTAAACGACTGCTAAAGACGAAATACAAACATGACTAATTACCGTAGTGTATTAATCAGCATGGTTGTTTTGGCTTAGCTATGTAGAGGAAACGACTCGTTAGGAACCATTAGCTGCAAGAATGATTAAATATTTTACGCCCATCAAGTTTTATTCGTAAACGCTAAATACTAATATAAAAAACAATTATGGTTATGCATTTGTTTTGTAATTTCACTGACCTTCGTGATATACTGCCATATAACGGACAAACAAAAACTATTAATATTGTAATTTTTATTAGAGTAAACGCAAAATTATGTTTTGTGGTCGGTTAGTCGTCATTTATTATGACTATAACAATGGTAATAACGGAAGCACACGATAAAATGTTTAATTTTGCGCATAGGTGAAGTATATATTAAAACGATACGCCTATAATAATTAGTTTATGTTTACTGTTCTTCTCCCCTACGAGACATGTCGGTTGTTTACAAACTCATAACTCTAATGGAATACTAGTGAAACATTTTAATACATTAAACTATCAGTTGCAATTGAATATTTCGAATGACTGATTTTAATTGCACTTAAAATACCAAAATAATGTATCAATCAATTAATCGTCAGCGAAATATGTCTCTAAAGCTTTAGTGAAACTAGTTTCACTATTACTAAAACTCGTGTTTTTAGATTTTTTTATTATATGTATTAAAGTTTTTATAGATTTTGATGTATATGAAGTTATAATTCTATAATGCTAACGCTATCACAACTAAAAAATTACATTAAAATGCTGTCGGAACTAGAGTCAGAATGGTCATCTCATTAAGAAAAATACAAATTACTGAAATCTCAACAAGTAACGATTCAAAATATTTTAGTGTTACTACCTAACTTTGTTTGAGAATAATTGTAAACGATCTCCAGAAAAGAAAAATTGTAAGAAAAACCTAACCAGAATAATATAATATACTTAATAACTTATAAAATAAATGCCTCCAGTATTCTTCATAGAAAAGCAAAAATAAATCGAAAGCGTTTCTTTATAATAACATACTCCAGCTAATTACTTGTAAGTTGTAACGATCATTTCATTTAAGTTAAGTTTTATTTTGTAATAAAATGCATTTTATTATTGAGACATACATTATCAATTAGTTTCATAATAACTTTATGTAAAAATTATCCTCGAGGATCACAGGTATGACAATATCGCAGACACTAGCCTTTCAGTGGGAGTGGAAACACGCACCATTAATCATACAGACAGTTATTTCCAATTTCTTGGGACTGGTAGGCATCAAACATACCAGCTTACAAACAGCAAGTAGGCTCCTCCAAAATTCCATGCCATGTGAGAGAGACTTGTCAAAGAGGTAGTATACCGAAAGGTAAAATTGACATTTGGAAACTTCTATGGCAACGGGCGCACCTCAGAGTATAACCTCACCACAATATCGAGCTCTGCTGTAGTGGACCTATTTCGGCTTCTTGTGAAAACAAGATGAATATACCACAAGAAAGGACAATTTTGTAAGTCAGGAAAATAATTAAGAAAAACAAATGAGATCAATAAATAAGAACAAATGTAAAAACAACGAGGCCCCATAGAAGATTATTGAATAATTTAAAAATCTTAATGCTTGAATGAAATATCTAATAATCACTCTATTACGTTCCACTATTTCCATAGTTCATCGATAAAAAACACAACAGTGATCACTTTATGATAAATCATAAACTAATAAAAACACCAAAGAAATTTCAAAATCCAGGATCATAACACCAATTGGCATAATTACTGACTAAACTAAATATACTCGAAATTATATTTTTAAACAGGAAACTAATTGAAGACAAGCTGCACCAACGAAATTGAAAACAGCGAAGCTCCAAAGAACTTATTATTGCACTTCGATAAAAAAAAACCGATGATTATTATAGAAATCTGCACGAGGAGCATATCATGAACTATAAAGTACGAATGCATGGGCAGTGACTATGTCTACCCTTCTTATAACTAAAACTAAACTAATATTAATTCATCTTTTTACCAGATTTTAAAAAATACTGAATTTAAGCATAAAACCCTGACATAAACTCATTTCTTTGATGTAATCAATTTGAACATATAATAATATTTCATTAAATACTTGTACTATTAATAATTTCACAATAACTGTTTATAGTCGGTGCATAGGTACTTAAACTCGAATTATTTGTGTTTGGCTTAATAATAGTAATTTTTGTTTATAGTTTAGGTATAATTAATGTTATAAAAAGACGATTAGCATTAAAAATTATAATAATTAAATAATAATAACCAAAAAAATAAAATCATTTGAATCAGGATCTTTTAGGAAACTACTCTCCTATAATATAGCTTAAGCGCCCTTCATTGAAAGGAACATGCTTAGTTTTGTTTTTTCGATTGTTTCTACTACAAGTAATGTCATTGTGGTTGATTCAATTAAATCCAGACTGAGTCAATTATTTTATGTGACTCTTTCAA